GTAGTGACTTGTGACTCATACCTGTAATCCCATTGTTTTGGGAGACTGAGGTGGGAGAATCACTTGAGCCCAGGAGCTTGAGACCAGCCTGGGCAATATGGTGAGATCCCATAGCTAGGTGTAGTGGCATGAGCCTGTAGTCCTAGTTACTCAAGAGGCTGTGGTGAGTGGATTGCTTGAGCCCAGGAATTCAAAGCTGCAGTGAGCTATGACTATATCACTGCACTTCAGCCTGGGCAACAGAGTGAGAATTTGTCTTAAAAACAAAACAAAACAAAACACCCACAGTGATAGATTCAGAACTTAGACCCAGGTGAGCTGACGCCAAAGCTCTTTATTGTGTACTGTGATGCCTTTTAGATTAAGGTTACAACAAATAATAAAGCTATTCATGTTGAATGGAGATTAGAATAAATATGAAAAAGGAAAACATTCAAATTCAGGAAAAATCCTGAAATAAAACCACCTATTTAATAACAAAGACAATACAATACCGTCTATGAACTGAATGGTATCCTCCCCTGCGATTCATATGCTGAAGCCCTCACCTCCTATTTTATTTGGAGACAGGGCCAACAAGGAGGTAATTAAAGTGAAATGAGACCCTAAGAATGGAGGCCTGTTATGACAGGATTCATGCCCTTATAAGAAGCGGCATGGGAATACACTTGTGCATACTCTGACTCAGCCATGCAAGGATACAGTGAGGAGGCAGCTGTAAGGCAAGAAGAAAGCCATCACCAGAAACCAAATCAGCCAGAACCTTGATCATGGGCTTTCCAGCCTCTACAACTGTGAGAAAACAAATTTACGCCATTTAGTCTATGGTATTTTGTTATGGTAGCAAGAGCAGACTAAGACTGAGATTTTGATACTGAGAAGTGGGGTACCATTGTAAAAATACTTTAAAATGTAGAAGCAGCTTTGGAGTTGGGTAGAGGCTGGAAGAGTTTTGAGATGCACGTGAGAAAAAGCCTAGATAACAGATAGTTGCTAGAAATATGGATGTTAAGGGAGATTCTGGTGAGGTCTCTGATGGAAATGAGGAACATTTTATTGGAAACTGGAGGAAAGGTGACCCATGTCGTAAAGTGGCAAAGAACTTAGCTGGACTGTATTCTGGTGTTTTGTGGAAGACAGTACTTGCAAGAGATGATATTGGGATTTCTAGCTGAGGAAATTTCTAAGCAAAGTGTTGAAGGAATGGCTTGCTTCTTCATGACTGCTATAGTAAAATGCAGAAGGAGAGAGATGAATTGAAGAAGAGATTGTTGAGCAAAAAGGAACCAGAACCTGAAGATGTGGAAAATTCTCAGTCTAGCCCTATGGTAAAAAATGTGAAAGCTTGTTCTGAAGAGAACATGAAGTGATGGCTAAATAACTATTTGATAAATGGAAAATGGGCATGATATGGACTTAATCATCCTTTCAGCAGAAGCCAGGAACAGACATGGGATACCAGCAAAGACATGGCCAGCTAGAACTAAAGGGGACAGAGTAGGACAGAAGGGAGATTGCTGCAATTCTTGAATTCTATGGGATTGGACCATAGAGCTATTAGGCTGGGAATATGTACTATTCTTCAAGGAAAGAGAAGAATGACCCTGAAGGTGATACAGATATCATGGCTGCTGCTTCCACTACAGGCCCAGTAGATGACTGTGCCCAGTGCCTCAGTGGTGAGGCCACCCTGCAGTCCATGGTGGTGATGCTGTCACCCCAGTGGCTTGGAGGGCAGAGTTATCAAACCAAAGAAGGTTATTCTTAAGATTTAATAGAATTTGGCTTGCTAGGTTCTGAAATTGCTTGGGACTGATCACTCCTTCCTTCCTTCTCATTTCTCCCTTTTGGAATGAGAATGTGTATCCTATGCCTGTTTGTAGCTGTATGTGGGAAACATATGATTTATCTCATTTCATAGGTTCACAGCTGGAGATAAATTTTGCCTCAGGACAAATCATGCCTTGAATCTCACCCATATCTGATTTAGATGATACTCAGATGAGACTTGGAACTTTAGAGCCGATGCTAGCATGAATAAGATTATTGGAGCTGTTGGGATATGTTTGCATGTGATAAGGACATAAAATTTGGGGGAGACTGGGGCAGAATGCTATGGACTAAATTATGTCCCCCCCCCCCACAAATTTATATGTTGAATCCCCAACACCCAATGGGACTGTATTTGGAGACAGGGCCTACAAAGAGGCATGGTTAAGTGAGGCCATAAGTGCAGGGCCCCAATCCAACAGGACTGATGTCCTTCTAAGAAGACATACCAGAGTATGTGCTCCCTTTCGCACTTCCCTCTCTCTCGTCCTCCTCTCCACGTGAGGACACAGAGACAAGGTGGTTATCTCTAAGGCAGGAAGAGAGCCCTCACCAGAAGCCAGATAAGTTGAAACTGGGACCTTGGACTTTTCAGCCTCCAGGAATATGAGAAAATAAATGCCTGTTGTTTAAGCTATCCAGTCTACAGCATGTTAGCTTTAGCAGCCTGGACTAACTAAGATAACACACAAAGGAAAGCTTTGAGTAGTCTATGACTGGTGTGAATTTGGTATTTAAGGAGTAAGGGTAGCATCCTTTAGTTTTCAAATTGCTAAGTTCTACCACTGACTTCTATTTGCAACATTTTAAAGACCTTTTCATCTCTTTAAGAGACAATCACACTTATTAGACTACTCTAAATTCCATTAGTGTGGGAAGGAATGTTTTAAGAAGACAAAGGGAAAAACAAGGGTTGCTTGTATGGGCTGACTGCTGGTGTCTTTTGCTTGTCTTTGCATAGGTAGGTCCCCAGAACCTAATGGTTTATCTCTCTCAGGTTGTACAATCAATTTGGTACTTCTGAAAACACCAGAGGTTCTTCAAAGAGATATTTATATTCAGCATTTAGTGTAAAACATCCTTTCCCAAACCTGCCAGTAGTTCCCATTTTATAACCACTTGCCACCTGTTCTTTGGAGATTGGTTTTGCATCATTACAAGCAAAGAAATCAATACCAGACCATTGATTCGGGAAGGAGACAAGATTGCACAGCAATAATACATAAAGTTAGCCAAGTCCTACTTCTCAATTGTTTTGGAAGAACAGATAGTTCAATGCCCCCTTCTGAAACAGGCACTCACCCTGCATTGGTGATTTTGTAGCAATAAAGGCCCAAGATAGATAAGGCACCATAACCCCAATTGATGTAACAGTTCTTGAGTGTGATACAGAATCTCTAAATGCCTTTTTAGACTCAATAGTAATGTATTAACTCGAACTCAAATTCCCTCTCTGCAGTTTACCCCTCAGTTTAATTTGAAAAGTGTGGGCTGGAGCACAGGGTCACTCTGCCTGCGCCACCAGACAGTCAAGTGGCAGAGGTACTGCAACTGCAGCAACAGCCAGCTGAAGGTTTGTTCCAAACATATATTCTGTCTTGATAGACAGGTAAGGCCCATCGTTACCTTATCCATTAATTTACTAAGACACCATCTGGTCTTTCTCAGTCAAATTAACATGCATAAGTCATTTAGATGTGGTAATTGGTTTGGAACCAGTGAATAGAATCAGAAAAAAAAAGGGACTATGGGAATGGAGAATATTACCTTAAGTTTATATAGAGTTTTGTGTTTTTTTGAAACCCTTCACATGCATTCTCTCCCTTGGTCCTCACCTCATTTATACAGTACATGGATTATCACTGTAACCATCTTGACAAGGAAGAAATTTAGGCTCAGCCAGGCTTGGTGGCTCAGCCTGTAATCCCGCGCCTTGGGAGGCTGAGGTGAGTGGAATGCCTGAGCCTGCAGGTTCGAGACCCACCCGGGCAACTTGGTGAGACCTCATCTCTACAA